ATTCCAAACACCGCTAATCCCCCTTTCTCAGGATCCTCTCTTTCTTTTAAAAAATTTATTATTGTTATTATTATTATAAGTTGTTGTTAATCCTCACCGAAGATATATTTTCCATTGGTTTTTAGAGAGAGTGGAAGGGAGGAAGGGGAAGAGAGAGAAACATGGACATGAGAGAGGCACGTTGGTTGGTTGCCTCCTGCACATGCCTTGGCCAGGGCTAGGGATCAAACCTGCAACCCAGGCACATGCCCTTGACCTGAAATCGAACCCAAGACCCCTTGGTGCACGGGGCGACGCTCTCACCACTGAGCCATGCCGACCAGGGCAGGATCCTCTCTTTCTTATTGGTTGTCTCCCCTCACTTAGCATATAACAGTTATGTTAGCTAATGCTTGTCCAATATTTACTGAGAGCACTGATGTGTTAACTCATTCCATCCTCACATCACCCCTGTGACCCAAGTACTACCATTCTTCCACATTGCAGGCGAGAAAACTGAGGAACAGTGGGTAATGTTCACAGGAAAGGCACCCATGATATGTCTTCTCAGTAAAGATGCAGTGCACATATTCTGAAATCAGTGTGTGTTGGGAGGGGGTTCAGAAATGGTTCAGATATTTTTATGGATTCAAATCGTTTCCTGTTTTGAGGTTAATGTAGAATTTCACATAATTGGAAGAGACATGGCTGGAGCATGCAGAGGTCTGTTTTATTGATGTTCATTGGATGTCTTATTATTTTGTTTTTATTTTCAGACATCACTAGTTAGTTATACAGGAAAGCAAAGGAAAGTAGAAAATGGAGGCACATATTCAAATTATTATGGCAAACTCTTCCCTCACCCACTATACTCCCGCAGCCTCACCTACATTTTGGTCTCTTTACTACGTATCTCCATACACTTTTAGGGCATCGGCCTTGAAGTCTGAGCAACTTGAAAGAAAGAAAGCCATTTCTTCAAGAAAAAGAAAAAAAACTGGCAGCATTTGTTGCTAATGAGAAAATCCCAGTCTTCAAGCCCCAACCTATCACTTACCAGTGAATTATTTAACTCTCTGTCTTACTTGAACAATTAGGATGGTGGTACGACTCCATGGAGTGGATACAGGCACTAAATAAGATATAAAGTGCCCTGGCCGGTTTGACTCAGTGGATAGAGCATCAGCCCACAGACTGAAGGTTCCTGGGTTCGATTCCGGTCAAGGACATGTACTTCGGTTGCAGGCTCGATCCCCAGCCCTGGTCTGGGCGTGTACAGGAGGCAACCAATGTGTCTCTCTCACATCGATGCTTCTCTCTCTCTGACTCTCCCCCTTTCTTCCACTCTCTAAAAGTCAATGGAAAAATATCCTCGGGTAAGAATTAACACCAAAAAAAGAAATAAAGTATTACATATAGTGCATGGTATGTGCTAGTGTTCAATCAGATTTTTTTTTTATTTTCTTCCCGAGTCGTTTTTATTTTTATTTATTTATTTTTAAATATATTTTATTGATTTTTTACAGAGAGGAAGGGAGAGGGATAGAGAGCCAGAAACATCGAGAGAGAAACATAGATCAGCTGCCTCCTGAACACCCCCTACTGGGGATGTGCCCACAACCAAGGTACATGCCCTTGACCGAAATTGAACCTGGGACCCTTCAGTCCACAGGCTGATGCTCTATCCACTGAGCCAAACCAGCTAGGGCTCGTTTTTATTTTTTTAATTTAACCAAACACGTGAGTCAATTCCACAAAAAAACATTCAACCTGAGCCCCAAGAAAATACTCTCTAAAAATTAGACTTATTCATTGAAATACTAAGTTTTGAACAAAAATTCTCATTGCTCCAGTTTTTCTCCAGGGAATAAATGGGAATAGTTGCTCAGTGGTTAAAAATGCACAGAATAACACAAAAATACTGTACAAGTACCTCTCAAAGCTTACTACTTAAAAGCAGCTTATCAGCACCAATGCAAGGTACACAAGGCCATCTGTGTCCCCGACACATTGAAATCCAAGCCATTGAATGATGACTTGATCATTATGCCATTAGCATCGCACCTCATCTGTAAAGTCAGATCATTTTCCAAATTGAAGCACTACTACCAAGGCTTTGAAGAGGAATAATGGGAATTCAGGTGATAGGCAGGCTGTGAAAAGCAGACAAGGGAAAAAGAAGCCATAATAGATAGTGATCAAGAGATTAAAAAAAAAAAGGAGAAATGTTCCAGAAAAAGTTGTGAAAGACTCTGGGAGCCTATTAGTGGGATATAATGAGGGTATTTTTACATTTTCCAGATAATTTTTCATTTCCAGTAATGACCGAGTCCCTGTCTTACATATTGGCATAATTCTCTATCTTGTGTGAACAACCAAAGCCCGTAAGACCTTTTCAATCCTTTGATCACCAGGCTCTATCCTGTGACATCCCTTATCTGAGCTTTGGAAGGTGTGTCTATAAACAGCAACTGAGCTGCTTTCTTCCTGAACACAGAGGTAATATTCACAAAACATTCAAAGGGCCAGCGAGGTTTATCCGTGCCACCTTTGGGCCACTTTCCCAGAACATTTCCCTCCACTCAGATGACTGTCAGTGTTATTGCCTACATCCATCTGTAAGTATTTTGCAAATGAGCAAAAAATAGCACCAGCTTAGGGCGAGAGGTGGTGGAAGGAGGGAGTTGATGTTGCTTGTTCTCAGTGAGGGGGTAGCAGCTCCATGGAGTCAGGAGCATCTGATGAGGCTCGTAATTAACCTGAAAACCCTCCTGCCACAAACAGCAACGGCAGCAGCCTGCTTGTCCGTTCCATTCCAGGAATTCCAATTGCTGTTTCGGTTGTTATGGAAACTGACCACACTGCTTCTTAAAGAATTCATTATTCCAACAAATATTTGTTGTTCTAGTCATTATGGGGCATCTAAATGAGCGATGCAGACACGAGGGACGGAGGAGCTCAGGGGTGGAAGGCTGGTGATTAGAGAAGACTTCACAGGGAGTTAGGACTTAAACCCCTCCTGGGGCATGATTAGCTAGGGGAGAAGACAGTGCAAGTAAAAAGATTGGCAAAAGCGAGAAACATTCAGATAATAATGATGCAGGAGGGGTTGGAGCGGAAGACTTGGGGTGCAGTGGGAAAGGGGAAAGACACATAGAGGCCAGTAGGGAGAGGGCTTTGAAGGCCAGTCTAAGGAGTCTAGACCTTTCTGTGGATAAAAGGGAACTAATAAAAGGGCTCTAATAAAGGGAACTTTGAAACCAGGGGAGAGTGCCTTAAGGACATTCATTTTATCTTATGACTAACAGTGAGGATGTCACCCTACCCTCTGCTAATACTACATAATACTATAGCTCCACTGTGGTTCTGGTAGAGGCCAAGATAATAATTTAAAAACTAAAAAAAACCCAGCCATCTTCTCATCTAGACAAAACCACACTTGTTTCACTGACATCAACTGACTCTTGTTTATGAAAACTCATCAAAACTGCTCTGTATGACATCCTGAGTATTTTCACGAGCTCAAATTGACCTGCAATAATAATACAGCCCCCAAACATCATTCTGCCATCTGACGAGAAGTGTTTGGAACCAAAGCCTTAATTTTCAAGCAGAGCCCAGTAAGTGCCCTAGAAGAAGAACTATTATTTTTCCTCAGATCACAGTGGCTTTGTACCTTTTACTGCCCACACAATAAGCTGAAATATTTTTTTTTTACTAGAATAGTGACTGACCATTAAGTTGACATACTGGAGAGGTTGTTTGGATAGAAGAAAAGCCTTTTGCTCAGAGCAGCAGTTCTGAGTGTGATCTGTAGACCTTCTGGGATCTCAAGCTTTGTCTGACGCCAAAGATTTTATATTGTGCTATTTGACCTAAGGGCACAGGATTGAGGGACAGGGGAGCTGAAATCTTTAGTTATCCTAGACAGATAGAAGTGACGTTTGAAAATACATTTCAAAATTCAATGGTGAGTGCTAAACTATGGGTACATATGAAATAATATTCATCTTAGAGACAGTAACAACAACCACAAAATATGCGGTATTATTTTTAGAAGCCTTTTCTGCACCATATTTTTAAAAATGCAGATGTCTAAAGGATCATTCCTTGGATTCCTGAACACCAAGTTTAAAGAGGCTCTCCTCATCCTAATTTGGCCCCTAAGATAAAAGCTAAACAGAAAGTATAATTTATTGCATCTTGGCCTTGATGCCAAGAAAACTGAGTAAAGTTTATGGGGAAAGGAAAATTTTCTTTGAAAATATGATGTGTTTCTCTTTGGTAAGGAGTAGAAATAATGCACTTTTACTTCCTGGAAACAATGCAAAATAAGTTTGGCAAGAATCCATCCAGATCCCAAGGTCAAGTCAACTAGAGGCAAGTAAGCCAGATATAGAACCCAGGTTGGGCTCAAGAATTGTTGCTGCTTAACACATGTTCTTTTGGCTGGAATTCTTCCCTTCTCTCACCCCCCATTAATCCCTTCAATCATCCCATCTCTTCCTTCAGTTCTTTGCTTAAATGTCACCTCCAAGGGAAACCTTCCCTAATTACCCTGTATAAACTAAAAACCCAATTCTACCCCAAACCCTCCGTGTAAGTTTTTCTATTTCAGCTCTTTGTAGCCTTTCTAATTTTGTGATAAAACTTTGATTGGTTCTTCTTTTTCATTTAAGATGGAAGCTCTGAGATCCCTGTTCATTGCCCAGCATGGGTCCAACACCCAGTAAGGATTTGGCGGGTGACTGAATGTGGGAGACAGTCCAGGGTAACAACCCACACAAATGAGTGCTGAAGTGGGAGGGCCCATTGAGAACCCTCCGTTGTCTGTGCTGAAAAGATACAAATCCAAACGCAATATAAAACTGTGCAGATGAATGCAGCAATCCGAAAGCCTCTGGGTGTTATCTTAACTAAAAAGGAGGCAAGACTTCAGAGGGTGAGAAATGAATAGCCTTTTCCCCTACCAAGTTGTTATTACTAGCAATTGCATTAGAAAATTGAGGGCTGTTACTCACCAATCATGAAAATAATTTTACACTTCCTCAAATCTTCCATGAAACCTTTAAAGTAAGAATAATTGAAGTCATTGGCAGGAAGTACTGTATTGAAACCCTGATTTTGCTCATGTTACGTAAAAACCAAAATCTTGTAGTTTTACTTGATAAGAAGCTTGAATATGAGTAAGTGTGTTAATAGCCCATAATGAAATGGCATCAGTGACCATTACGGCCTATTCCTAGACCCAGGTAACATATTTTCATTTAAACACAAATGATCACCTTTAGGTAGTGAAACTAATAAGCCATTAAATAACATTAATCACAAATAAAGATAATTTTTAAGAAATTACTTAAAAATTTCTTAAGTGTCTCAGTTGTGAGTTACTTCATATTTTTAAACATTTACTAATCTCTCTTTGATAAAGAGAGTATGGAAGACAATAGTTTACAAATAGTTCCTATGTACAAAAAATAGTGCTATTTTCCATTTAAGGTAGTGATATAAAATTTATTTTAAAAATAAATGTATATAAATAATAATAGTGAGTCAATTTAGTGAAAAGTATTATGTAAATAATATATGGTATAAAAAAATAATATATGGTATAATAAGTAGTATAGAGATAAAGCAAAAATCACAAAGGTGACAAGTGAAGACTGAATTTTGGGAACCACTGCTTTAAGGCAAAGGTATGATTAGACATCTTGGCAAAGTGGGAAACCCTCTAGAGTTTGTGGAGCCCTAACAGATGCTCAGTTGTCACGTGCTGTAGTAGGCAGCCAGGAGGGATGGGTAGACATGAGCTCCATTTTTTATCCTGCTGTCACCTGACTTGATTTAGGCAAATGACTTCTTTTCCTTGCACCTCAGTTTCCCCATTTGTAAAATAAAGGTGTTGGACCCAATGGTCTCTAATTGGTTCAAATACCCATGACGTGTGGTTCCTGTAAATGCATAGGCCACATGAGGAAATGGCCCCCTTTGTCCCTGGGCCATAATTATGATGCTGTATGTTTGAGATATCTTCCTAAAGTAAACCAAAATCCTAAGAGACCATGGGTGAGAGTGAGGTCCCCTGAAGAGATGGCCACAACCAAAAACTTGAACTGGGAATGGCTCTGGGAGCTCCAATCTCAAGGCTCAGAAAATGCCAGTGGTTACTGCTTGAGTCTGGAAGCAGGGGTGCCTCAATTAGAAATATGTTTAGAGTGAGGATCTGAGGGTAGAGAAAACAGCAGTCCCACCCACGACTGCTTCAGAGAGGAGCAGGGACAAATATTGCACTTTTGCTTAAGGCCATCGGGCTTCATTTATGAAGATTAGACTTTACATGCAATCAGGAGTTGAACCAGTTACCGCACGGTGAGAGTTAGCAGGCCGCTTACTCAACTGTGCCAGGGCAGGGGCAGCCTTCTGCCCTGGACCTGGGGGTTTTGGGCAGGCCGACAAGGTGTGGGCTCGTTCAGGATGCTGTGAAGTTCAGAGTGGGATTCAGTAGAAGCCACTTTGGGAGACACTGCTCCGACCTACAGGCCATCCTGGGCAAATGGGGATGGCAAAAGCTCAAAACACAGGCCTTAGGAGAATCAGAGAAATTCATCATGTTCAAGTCCTTCTCCGACTGGCTAATTTCTGAGCAGCTTGGTCTCACACCCGTGAGGATGGGGGTGGGGATGGCAGGCTGATTCCACAAACAAGAACTTCTAGAAAGGTTTCTCTGTTATGCTTAGGCAAAGGCCGGGCAGAGATTCTAAACCAGTGGGTGGGTGTGGACTATGGTACCAAGAGTTAACATTCAAAGTCATGTTTTCAGAGCACCAGGCTAGACAAACAAAACAACATCGAAGCTGAATCCTTCCCTCAGCTGGGCAGATGTGGCTACAGATAGAATAGGAGAGGACAATTTTGAATAATTTATTATTCTTGTTAACCCTATTGCTAAGGGAGATACTTTACAAATTGCAAGATACATTGACTAGACAGTAATATATTGCAATGTAGGATACTGTGATTTGTTCCACTTCATGAAAAATTTGCATGCAGTTTTAAAGTAAAGACACTCAAGTTCAAAGCTATTGGTGTTTTTGTTGGAGCTCCAGGCCCCTGGGGTGTGGGGGTTCCTGGAGCAGCCCTCTCAATGGGGAGAGCCTGGAGAGGGGGGCAGGATGGAGTCAGCCCTGGGCTCCTAGGTGGAGCTCCAGGGTCTTTTCCTGGTTCAGAAATAACTGCTTTTGCTCATCCTATGGGTGTGAGTTGACTAAAGTGACAGGTAGAATGTAATTACCTGGATAGAGAGGAGAAGGTTTTTATCTCCCATCTTGGTGACAACATTACAAGTTTTACACTTTAAATAAACTGATTGGACTCTGATTTATACTTCATGCCTTATGTAGATGCTCAGTACTTTGGAAAGTTAGGTCGTTTTTTCTGAGTTATAAAACTTACTTTTAGTGGAATTGGGGTAATTCATCTATATACTCAATTCTACCTTTTGCGGGAATCCACTATGAGCTGAGTGAAAGGCCTAACAACAGGGGGAGGGGAGAGAGAGAGAGAGAGAGAGAGAGAGAGAGAGAGAGAGAGAGAGAATGAGAATGGACATGAAGAATTGGGTTGGGAATAGAAGGGGAACAAGTTAGGGGAGAAAGAGCTGGAAGCAGAGGAAAAAGTGAATTTGGGGTCTTTGAAGTAATTTCTTTTTTATACTGAAGGATGATTTTTGTTGTTGTTCTTTTTAATCAGAGATGCCCCAGTCTCTTCACAAAGTAGCCCAGGGAGACTGGCAGAGTCCTATGTAATCTGGAGCTTTCTATTCCAGGCCAAAACACTCGGTGCTCTTCACCTGTGGGACCAGAGGGTCATCTCACGTCCTCTGGAATTCCAGTTAACTTTATGAAGCTGAGCATCTTTTAATTTATTTGCAATCTAGGAAAGTGGCGCTGGTTATTATTATTATTATTTTTGGTATAGCTGTATCCTATTACAGTTTTAAAAAATAGTTATTTTTTAAAATTAATAATGGTACATTCATGTAATGTAGTCATTACAAATTAAGGTTATAGAGAGTTTTGAATGACATAGGAACATGCTTATGATATGCACAAAAATTGGAGGTAATATTTGTATTATATACATGTGTATTCTCAACTCTGTGAAAATAGGTATATGAACAACACTCTGGAATAAAATGTACTAGAAATGTTAACCATGATTACTTAGAGTCCATAAGGTTTTAGATAATTCTAAATTTCTACTTTAAAAAGTTTTCCACAATGAATGTGTTAATTTTATAACCAGGAAAAAAGGGCAACTTTATTAGGCAATCAATCAATCCCTATCCAGGTGGGTCTGAGTTCATTATTTGCACTTGACTCATGTTTATGTGCCTTTCCCCATGAATCCCCATGATGCCATTTGGTGACTGAGATTTTCACATACTGCTATTGCCATTATCAAATGACACTTTATCTATCACCTCATGCTCATGGATCAGCGCAGGATTAGAGTTGGGGCTATTTAGAAAGCTAACTCACTTGTATGTATTCATAGCCAATACAAACATATTTCCATGGACTATAGTGATGACATTTATTACAGAGTGATAATGTTAGGAGGTATTTTACTTAGGGCAAGCATGAACCTTATCTGTTTTGAACAATCTCAAGTTCAGATAATGTAATCTATTTTCAGTTCCATGTGTACCTAATTGTGGTTGGATTTTTTTTATTTTTTTTAGTTTTTGCAAGACTTTTAACGACAAAAATTATAAAGCAATATAATTTGGGTGTTTCTTAGGTTGCATCCAATGATACACTGCAGAATAGTAACTACTATCCAGAAAAAGGACTTGTGTTTTCAAAAACTGAAGAACGCTTCATTAACGTTAGCTAGCTCTCTCTGCTGCAGGACTTGCAGGAGCCTTGCTGTGCTGTTCTATATGCGACTCTTCCAAAGGCGATTGAGTGTTAGCGTTTCCCAAACATATTTTCCCAGAGCACCCTCTTCTCACTGAGTGTCTCAGGGTCATGTTCTCTGGGCTGGAGGAAGCGCATCTCTTAGGCATCCCTTTGCTTCTTCACATGGACCCAGAGGGGAGAGAGGCACAGAGTTCCCCTCTTAACTGTGTTCTCTGGCTAAGGGAAAAGTACATGTTGCTGGTACTTTATTATCTCTTTGCTGGTGATTAATAAAAAGACACATTCTAAGCCACCCAAGTGACAAGTTTGCTCGGTAAAGAAAACTCACCTCCTGTGGGGTCCTCTCCAAATACATTTAACTGGTCATCGCCCTGTTTATAAAAAAATAAAAATATTAGATGATAAGACTAACAGGTATTGTGTTAAACTTCTTCTTTCTGTGTGTGTATGTGTTAAGCTTCTTGCCAACATTAACATACTTAACCTTCCAAACAACTCTATGAGGGAGGCCTATTATGACCCACCTTTACAGATGAAGAAACTCAGAGTTTGAGAAGTTGACCTGTGCACGGCCACAGAGTGGCGAGGAACAAGCCCAGATCTCCTCAGAGTTTATGCTTGTTTCTTAACCTGTTCAATATCCTGCCTCATTTTCTTGGCGCAGAACCTATTTGTGGTCAGAAAAGCTGATTTCAAGAAGGCAAAACCTTCCAGGACCCGAAACTCAGATAGGGCAGTCACAGCTGTTTCACAAACAACTCTAACTTAAAGCTGGCCTTGGCCAACTTTCTGTAAAGGGCCAGGCAGTAAATGCTTTCAACCTTGTGAGCCACATGGTCTCTGCAGCTATTAAATACGGACCAAACCTTGCCAATCTCTGAAAACGAAAGCATGAAATAAGGCAAGTTGGGACGACCAGCTTTGATTGATGTCTGCCTTTTAAATTTCCGTATTATTTTTTAATCAGACAGCTACTCCATTTTCCTTATAGAAGAACCCATGGTGTTTGGAAAAAATCCTGAAAAAAATTTATATAAAGGCATTTGGTGAGAATTTTCGATCCCACCTATGTCTCCATCCATCCCATCTACCCACTTCCTCACCCCTTATGGGTAACCACTCATAGAAATTTATTTTATTTTTTTGTATCTTTCCAGATACACAGAAAAACTACTTTCAGATATCCATGGATACACTTAGCTATAAATATATAATCTTTATACCTCCACTTTGTACATAGAAAGAAGCATACCTATATTGTACATGCATATGTGTTTATATTGACATACTAATCTATGCTGTTCTTCCCCTTGCTTTGAAAATATATTATTTTATTGATGTGAGAGGAAGAGAGAGATAGACACACCAATAATGGGAGTGAATCATTGATCAGCTGCCTCCTGCATGCCCCACACTAGGGATCGAACCAGGAATCAAACTGTGACCTCCTCATTCACAGGTCAATGCTCAACCACTGAGCCACACCGGCTGGGCTCCCCTTGCTTTTTTACATATCAATATTTCCCAGAGAACGTTCCATATTAGCACAGAATGTTCTCGGTTGTACAATATTCTATTGTATGGACGGTCCCATAGTTGTTCCTTTATGATGGACCATTGAATTGTTTTCAATCTTGGACTATTTTTGAAAAATTAGTATAATAAATAACTTTATATAGAAGTCATTTCATACACCTATAGCTGGAGGATAAATTCCCAGAGAAGGGGCTGTGCAACCAAAGAATAAATGTATTTATAATTGTGATAGATTTTGCTAAATTGCTCTTGCTACTGAGGTTGTGCTATTTTGCAGGGACAGCCTCGGCCTCTGATTTGCTTTGATCAGGACTCAGTTAAATGAGGTTGCCTGGTTGCATTAATGCTCCCCTGAAAGAGCTTTGTCTGAGAACAGAGCCTTGCCTTCCTCTTTTAGAACACCTGCCCTCAGGGCAGCTCTCCTGCTTGTCTTCTTAGATTTGCCTGTGTATCCAGAACGGTTCCAGGTGGACAAGAGTATGTAATGGAGTGGCCATTCAGGGACACATCTGCATTAATTAACTCCCTTCTCTGAGTAGCAAAGACTTTGGTTATTCCTCGGGAGCCTCCCTCCTCCCATTCCTTTCTCTTGTTGAAATCATTGCACTTTGGAGCTGGGAGTATAGGTCAATCACTGAAAATCCAACCCTACCATCTGCCTCTCCCATTTTACAGATGAGGAAAGATGGTTAGCGAGGTCATGCGAGGGGCCCATGGTCATGTCATCGGGTCTTTAGCGATGCCATGGTTGTGATGGGAACCACATGTCTCACCATGTAGCAAGGCTCCTAGAATTTTGTCCCATCAGCTTAGCTACCACAATGGACCTGTTAGTGTCCTGCGCTCACCTGGCTGGTACAACCACCTCCCAGCTGCTGCTAAGGGCTCACTGGAGCCTGGCCCCTTCCTCAGGCTGGGTGACTCTGGTATAAGCTGTGCCTCAGTGTTCCCCTCAAGATCAGGCTGACCCCAGCAGCAGACCAGCAGGGACCATATCTTTGCTCAGCTACTACCCCTGCCCTAGCCTAAGAGCGTTCCTAATAACACACCTGCAAGAATCCCCAGCTGAGGCTTTGCTTCTAGGGACCTATTTGAAGCCATTCATGTCTGCCCTCAATGCAGCTACATAGCAAGAGGCCTAATAGCCTTTGCTGGAAAAGGACGGTTCAATCAGACTCTGCTTATTGCTTGTGAAACAGCTACTGAATCTATCCAGGCAATGTTAAGAGGAAGCCACTGAGTCCTGCCCCTCCCCGTTAAATATTATTGTTAAGTTATCAGACCCACACCCACCGGACATAGTCTTTCTTGTGCCTGGTTATCATGTTTTGCGAGTTTGAGGAGGGTTAATCTCAATCTATAAAGCAATGCGCCATGTTTAAATGGCCTACCAGACCTCTATTTGGCTGCTTGAGGCTGACCTGTTTTTATCCACAGCCTTCTATGCTGTTGGCCCAAATGCTTTAAATCAGCCCTAGTTTTATTTCTATGAATGCATTGATCGTGAACAGGTTTCTGGAGCGTAGACACAACTGTCATCGGCTCTGCGCCAGAAATGTGACGCGCTGCGCTGACTGACACGAAAGCCCAGGTGAATGGGATGTTTGACTGGAGGCTGTTATTTTCTAGTGATGCTCAGAATAAACCTCATGATTCCAATGTGACTCTTTTGTAAATAAAACTATTCTGGCATCACACACACACACACACACACACACACACACACACACTAACAGCCAACGAAAAGCAAAAGATGCTCTACAGCTCCTGGAGGCTCTTTCTGTTCCAATGTGAGGTGTATTCTGCATGAAAGGCATTGATTTTGGAATGTCAATTATATAAGGAGCAAACTGTTATAGAGGCTTATTCCAAAAATATCTGACAAGGTGTTTACATCCAGTTGCATTGTAGCTGCGTCTTCAGCGAGGTGTATTTTGGAAAAACACAACCCACTGATGACCAAGTGCCACCCTGTGTGCCTGTGGGTGCTTCTTTGTGTCACAGCCATTTACTGTGTGGCTGCTACATCCAGTCAGCACGTTGTCACCTGTCAGTCTGAATTGTGGGGTCAGGCTCTGTGACTACAACGAGACATTGATGACTTGGGAGGCATGATGCAGGCTACATATCTGAACAAACTGACAAAGAGAAATAGTACAAATATAGGCACAGATTTTATGTAAGTGCCACTTATGACTCATAAGCCAGGAGCCAAGGCAGCCAGCAATGATGTGATTAATACTGGTGAGGGTGGGACAGCTACAGCCAGACCACACCACACACACACACACACACACACACACACACACACTCAGGTGGCCACATCTTCTGTGCTACATATGTGATGATAGTTGGTGATTGATGGGTGAAAACCGAGAATCCTGCTGAAGTGCCATATTTAGAGCCTCACGATGGGGTTTGGGGTTCATGGGGAACGGGATTTGGGTTACTGATTTGCTTTGGTCTCTGTCCCCTCGTCTCCAGTCAAGCCAGAGCCACAAGGAGAGCAAAGGCTCCTCGCATCCAGCTCTATTTCCCCGTGCGGATGTGGAGGCAAGAAGCTGCCTTTGCAAGGCTGGCTGATGGTGCTATTTTTAGAAAGAACGTTAGTAGGTGTGTGTGTTTTCCTTTGGGATCAGAGCTCTAGCATCACCGTGAAGTGCAGGAGGACAGAGTGCGGTGAGCGACTACATGGCACAAATATAATGAACGCTCATGGTGCCACCTGGAGGCAGGGCATGTGGCGAAACGGCTGCAAGGAACTGTCAGGAAGATAGTAAGGCCACCCTCGGCACAGGATTTATGGCTTAAACCAGCAGAGACCAGCTAGATCCGACATGGAGACTCATGTCACCTAAGGGTAACCTCTAGTATCATTGTACGCTCATTGCAATAAACAGAAAGCTCATAGAACAGCGGTTCTCAACCTGTGGGTCGCGACCCATTTGGAGGTCGAACGACCCTTTCACAGGGGTCGCCTAAGACCATCGGAAAACATATATATAATTACATATTGTTTTTGTGATTAATCACTATGCTTTAATTATGTTCAATTTGTAACAATGAAATTGGGGGTCACCACAACATGAGGAACTGTATTAAAGGGTCGCGGCATGAGGAAGGTTGAGAACCACTGTCGTAGAGGGGCACAAAATGACTGTAGGAGCTCCTCTGAGAAATCTCCACCCCTTTCCCCGGAAGGTCCTGATTATTCCTCCCCCTCATTGAATACCCTACCCCCCAGTTAGATGGACCTCAACCAAGGAAGCAAGTTTCACTAGAGGGGAGCTGCTGTGTGTGTGAAGTAGCCCATTCTCGGTCTCAGTGCTTCACTAATAAGCTCACTTTCCCTTTAAGCTCCACGCTGGCTCATGTTTGAATTCTTTCCTCTGCGAAGCCAAGAGCCCTCCGTGGGCCCTGGGCCCTCGAGCCCCCGGAACCCTGGAACGCCTGCCTCAATATGAATGGAGGCAAAGTGGGCTCATCTGCTAAGAGAGGGACGGAAGTTGGATCCTGGCGTTTTGAAAGAGCAGTTCTCAGGTTTTGCTGGTGAGCTGTTAATGAAGTTTTGAAATTTCTTGGTTCATCAGCAGAAGGTTATTGGAAAACGGAAACATAACTACATTTTATCAGCAGGGAGAAGGGAGACTGGTCCTTGAGAAATGTTCTGAGTGTTTACAGTTCTCACTAAAGCCTGTTTTCATTTAAAGCAATGGGCAATTTGGAAAAAAAAAGTATGGGAAGTGGTATATAATTTACTTATACCCAAGAATTTATTTTACAACAAGTACCATTTCTCTTTCACTGAAGTGTACACCATTAGAAGTCTGCTTGCTGTGGAAGTTCTTGTATAATCGAGTAAACAGGGAGGAAAAATATAGGGGATGCTAGGCGAACCTTCTCTCAGTCTTATTAAATTGCAGGTTCTCTAAATGAGCTGCGCTAAATAGTGGTTCACAGTTCTCTAGGAGGAATGGTATTTTTCTTCTTTTATGTATGAAGTGAATATATACATAAAAAAGTAATTTAAATGTTCCCGTCTCTAATAAGGAATTTAAAAAAATATTTGTATTTTCATATTTTTTTAAAGTATGTTTTTATTGATTTTAGAGAGAGAGGAAGGGAGAGGAAGAGAGAGAAAAAACACACGCATTGATGTGAGAGAGAAACATATATTGGTTGCTTCCCATACACACCCCAACCTGGGATTGAACCCACAACCTGAGTATGCACCCTGACCAGGAATCGAACCGGTGACCTTTCGGTGCATGGGATGACGCTCAACCAACTGAACCACAACAGCCAGGGCTCTAATAAGGGATTTTAAAGAAAACACTTTTTTCCGATGTTTTCCTATAAATTCCTGTTTCCACCTCACTGCTAGAGGAGTGTGTGAAAAACACCTTGGTCTCCTCTTCTATGTCAAATGGGGCACCGTTGTCAAGCAGGGCTTTGTCAGGCTGGTGGGGTGAAGAAAGGGACGAAGTTCCCATTCTGATCGTGTCTCATTTAAAGTGAATGTTAGCCATAAAGCCACACTGGACTAGAGTCTTACCAAGGAGAGTTATTTGGCTTCTACCTCTTTGTATTCTGAGTCCTTGTAAAACAGTTAAGCTTAGCTTCAACCATTGGGACCTACAGAGCTTATTGGCCTGTTTCTAGCAGTTTTAATAGGTTCTATGAAAATACAGACTCCTTATGACATACTCTTGGCAAAATGGAAAATCAGGTTAATTAATAGAGTAAAACACACTAGATGTATGTTTATGTGTTTTTCAGAAAGAGACATATCACCCAGAGGAGACAGCTGTGGTTCCACCATCTCTCTTTAAAAAGGAAGTAGGCTTGGGGCAAGGTAGGTCTGTAAGGAGTGAGCAGGTGGAGGGCTCGCAGGACTGTGACATCTCCTCCTAATGCCTCTTCCTTCTGACTTCTTTGCTCATCACGGGTGTACCTCCTGCTCTCTTTGCAGCCTGAAGCACTTTCCCCCACCATCAATGAGAAATTCACTTGTTTAAAAAAACGTCCAAATGCTGGCATTGTCCAGAAAAATTTAACAGGTTTATATATAACTAGAGGCTTGGTGCACGAAATTCATGCACTCAGGGTGGGGGTGGGGGTGGGTCCTTCAGCCAGACCTGTGCCCTCTCACAGTCTGGGAGTCCTTGGGGAATGTCCGACTGACGGCTTAGAGCTGGCCTAAGCTGTCAGTTGGACATTCTTAGTGCTGCCATGGAGGTGGGAGAGGCTCGTCAGCCGTGAGCCCGGCTTCTGGCTGAGCGGCGCTCCCCCTGTGGGAACACACAACCACCAGGGGGCAGACGCTCAACACAGGAGCTGCCCCCTGGTGGTCAGTGTGTGTCATAGTGACCGGTCTTTCTGCCGTTTGGTCAATTTGCATATTAACCTTTTATTATATAAGATTGTTATGAATTTGAGCTGCTGAAACTTGCTCACAGAAACATTCTGACTTGCATTAATGCTTTATGTCCCTGCATTTATATTAAAAAATTCCCACACAAATGAAAACGAAAAATCTGCCAATACCTGATTTCTGTCACCTATTTTCCACTTGCAATCATATACTTAGTTACCTTTTGATCCTATGAGGGAAAACATCCAATGTTCAGCACTGCCAATAACAGGAAGAAGAGATTTTTTGTTTAAAAAATGTAATGTTTCCCATCATAGTGGGTTCTTAAGCACATTTCCACGTGTGTGGTGTGCTAGCTGGATGCCTTTTGGCATAATTGTTACTTGTTTGGCATGGATAGCACACAGGTTGGTGTCTTCAAAGAGGCCAACCTGATAGGCCTCACTTGCCTCCTGCAAAGCACCATAGGCTGTGCCCTGGAAGTGCAGATCTGGATTGATGTCCTGAGCAATTCTCTCATTAGCCGCTGCAAGGGAAGTTTGTTAATCAGAAATCCAGTGGACTTCTGTTAATGTCTAATTTCCACGAAGCGCTGTGATGCCAGAGCTGTAACAAAGGGGTTTTTTTAACCTCCCCCCCCCCAGAGGGGGGGCCCTTTTTGTGTTTGTTTTTTTTACCCATTTATTACCCCTTCCTTCCCGCCCCCCCCAGCCCCCCCCCCCCCCCCCCCGTGCTTTGCACAAGCCCTGGTGTAAAGACCTCCTTACGTAACCCCCTTCTCCTTTGGCTGGAGCTTGGTGAGCTAGAGGCAGTGCTGGCTTTAGGGAGTGACAATTCCGAAGTATTTAATTATCACTATCATACACTATCATAGATGCAACAGACAGCTCACCAAGGGCCACTCCTCGATTTCCAGTCAAGCTCTGATCTTTCCCCCCTGCTCTTGCTTTCATTATTCTCCAACTTGAATGTCTGCATTCAATTCCCTGAGGTTCTACCTGCTAGAATCTAGCAGGTAACACTGACTGAGGAGTGGGACAGGGTTAGTTAGTGGCCATGGGTCACAGAGCAAAGGAGGAACTGAAAGGGACTCCCAGGTTGGAACTGTGAATCAAAGGGGCAGGCCAAAAGAAGTGTTGTTCTCACCAGAAACAATCCGTAGACATGAGATGAGGGGGCTTTTAAATAGTGTCTGAAGACTCAGGAAGGGCTCACGATATGAAAGATTGATGAGCAGTGACTATCTACAGCTGCTAGCTACAGCTTTTATAAAGTTCATGCAGCTCTGCCCAAGCTAGTTAAGATACTAGTAAACTCCATGAGATAAATGAATGGATTAATTTTCTCAGAACGTGACCTGTTTTATCTGGCCTCTGGATCCCGGCCCATCCTGTCTGCCCAGCCTGGAACGCCTCCTCCTTTGCCCTGTTCATTTACATTCTGCCTCTCCTCCTGGCCGCGTGCGAGTCCAGGCAATGTTGGGTGTTCCCACAGAGGGCGGGTCCGCGTGAAAACTGGCAATCTGACAGTTCTCAGGAAGGATGCCTTGTTGTTGCTTTTCTTACTTTTCCATTATAAACTATGATTATAAATTTAATTTTTTGTGAGTTGTTTACTTGACACTACCTACCCTGTGTGGTGATACTTCTATGCATCGACAGTTGGGGATAGACTTTAAGATCTGCAAGTTCGATGGCTCACAGATGAACCCCAGACTACCCCAGTGGCAGAATTGACGTCTCTAGACAGCCCAGTGCGCTGGCGCAATAAATGGCAGTCCTGCAGAGCTATGACTTTCCCAAGACGATGCAGAGGACAGGCAACACGCTGGTTTCTAGAGTGGCCTACCTCTGTGCTTCCTGAGATATACTGTACTCATGGGCCAGCCTTTGTATCTCCTGTTTTAAAATCTTAGTACAGAATTAGATAAAAGAGAGACATTTTACTATCTTTTGAGAAACCTTTGGCACCCTGGCTGGGTGGCTCAGTTGGTTAGAGTGTCATCCAGTACATCAGAAAGTTGTGGGTTCCATCCCCGGTCAGGGTGTGCATGGGGAGCAAGCAACCAGTAGATGTTTCTCTCTTACATTGATGTTTCTCTCTCTCTCTCCCCTCCTCCCGCTCTAAAATCAATTAAAAACACACGTATCCTTGGATGAGGATTAAAATAACAAACAAACAAAAAAACCTTTGGCAAAGAGTACTTGGGGAATTTTTAAAAGGCACGATGACATCATATTGGAAAATCAGGCACTCAACCCACTACCAAAAAACAAGCACATGCAGGAGCCAAGGAAACCTGCCTGCTCTCTCCTGCTTCTCCAAGTCTCTCATACAGGAGGCTGCACCGAGAAAGCAAAAAACTGCCAAAAGCAGAAATAAAAGCAGCTCAGAAAAGACAAGTCTGTAAGAGAAGTTAACCCTTAAAAGCTGGGACTTTCAGCCCGGCCAGCGTGGCTCAGTAGTTGAGCATTGACCCATGAACCAGGAGGAGGTCACGGTTAGATTCCCGGTCAGGGCACATGCCCGGGTTGTGGGCTCGATCCCCAGTAGGGGTTGGGGGGCGTGCAGGAGGCAGCTGACCAATGATTCTCTCTCATATTTATGTTTCTATCCCTCTCTCCCTCTCCCTTCTTCCCTCTGAAATCAATAAAAACACATTTTAAAAAATCACACACACACACACACACACACAGCTGGGACTTTCAAAATGCAGGGCTGGCCAAAAGTCTCTGGGAGGGGACTGAATCCACTCACTAACCTGTGGTCCCCAAGGATGTGTGTGTTTACAGGGTTCTCTCCCCCCCCCCTCACTAATTTGCACAAAGACTCTACTTGGACTAGTGGTGACCTGCCTTGAGGTGAACTTTGATCAATCCCCCCGCCCCATTAAATATTCAGAATAGAAAATAAAGAGAGTATGGGGGTGGGGGAAGCAAAGAGAGTTTCAGGGCTCTTGCAAATGCCACTTCCCTGGTATCAGTCAGACAAGAGCACACACTCTGCTGAAGAGCCCAGAGTTTACAACATGGGCTCGGGCTGGTCCTCTAGCCCTGCTTTGACCCAATCCCAGCTCGTTAGCCCCTCCTCTCTGCCTCTTTCCCTCTTAACAATATAGGAATCACCAGTCCTTTCCTACTTAGGATGCTCTGGAGGAGCGGATGAGGTCTGAAGAGAAAGGGCAGGGTATAAATGCAGGGCGTGCCTGCTGTTAGGAAGCTGCTCTACCCTGGGAAAGGTCATCTTAGACACCCCTTACCCTGGACTTGGAAGGCATGCACCTTTAAAGAACAAAGGGATGTTCTAAACTGGCTGGAAACAATCATTCCCACCAATGCCTCTTCACAGCTTCTCGGCATATGTACTACAATTAAAGCATTAGGAGCCCTGAAGAACTATAAATACGAAGGGAATTATGTCATGGATTTGCTACATTAGTATTTACTTTAGAAAAAAAATTGGGTAAGAAATTACCATATGAAATTGGTTAAGGACACATACTTCCAGTTATAAGATAAGTAAGTGTTGGGGATGAACAGCATGGTGACTCTTAACCACATAGTGTACAGAATATTTGATAGCTGCCAAGAGAGTAGCTCTTAAAAGCTCTCATCACAAGAAAAGAAATGTGTAACTGTGTGATAGTGATGTTAACTCGACTTACGGTGATTATTTCACAATATATACAAATATCAAATCATGTTGTACACCTTAAACAAATACACTGTTATGTCAATTCTATCGCATTAAAAAAGAAATTACCATATGAGAACTCGGTGGTCCATAAATAATTATTTTATGCTGAAAACACCCTTTGCCACTGAACATTAGCTTCACAAAAGCACATACGTGTCGTCAGCCTTGGCCTTCCCAAGGCGTTTTCCCTGCTCTGATTCCACTCACTGCCCAGCCGCAGGCCCTGTACACACAGGTGGACAGAGAGATACTCATTGTTGTGAGTGTGGTCAAGAAACCCCATGATGGAGGAAGAAAATCCTTCACTTTACAAGAAGGGAGACTGAGGCCTGAGGAGCGGTGTGTGTGACACAATCGTCCCATGTCATACCTCTGGCATGTGAGAGAGCTGATACCTGAAATCAGGGAGTCTGACTCCAAAGACTCAGCCTTTCCCTACCCATGAATGAACAAATGAGGAAGCTGGCTATTATTTTCTATGCACGGTATGTTAGCACATATTTTGGGACAGTTGCTATTTGGCACATGTCCAAACAAGTTCACCTTTAAATTAATCTGGTCCCAGAGAGCTATGGTATGTTCTTTAGACATCAATGTTCTTTACTTGTGCAGTGTTTTACACAAGGGAGAATATTTCCATTTATACCATCTACAATGCCGTGTGGGGTGCTAGGAAAGGCACTGGACCCCTAAGAACTTGGTTTGAGTCCAAAATGCTATGTGTTCGCCCGGCCACGGTGGCTGAGTGGTTGAGCATCGACTTATGAACCAGAAGGTCACGGTTCGAGTCCCAGTTAGGGCTTGATTACCCCAAGGGGGCGCATGTAGGAGTCAACCAATCAATGATTCTCTCCCATCTTTGATATTTCTATCTCTCCCCTCCTCTCTGTAATCAGTTAAAAAATATATGAAAAGCAACAACAAACAAAACCAAAACCAAAAGGCTATGTGTTCTTGGTGATGTTAATGAAGCCTTCATGCAACACGCAGGGCCTGCTCTGCTCGGCCCTGGTCTGGGGGAGCAAACAGACATGGTCTGTGCTCACGAGCTTCATGTCTATTTGGGGAGATGGATATTAATTACATAACCTTATAAGGAAATGCATATTAAACAGGAATTTACATCAAGTAAAGGGTTCTAGGAAAATTAAAATAGGAGCTCTGATGTACACAGGGGTTGGGGAGTAGGCTCTATGTTGGCCAAGGGGGAAGGGAGGGGAGGGGAGGTGAAGAAAGACAAGCCTGTCCCTGGAAGAGTCCTCAGCTAATGCAAAAGCCCAAAGGAGGAGCAGCCCACACCCTGGAGAAGCTGTAGGCAGGTCAGTGAGTCTGGGCACAGGGAGCAGGAGAGCGGTACGCAGAGGCCTCCTGCAGGGTCTTGGGGCCCAGGGAGGGCTCAGGTTGTATCCCAGGAGCTTGGGAAGAAAGGCTTTGAGGGCTGTAAGTTGGAAAGTGACATGATCATTTCTATGTTTTTATAAATATCACTCTAGATTCTGTGGAGCATGGATTGGAGGTGTCCCTTTGTCTAAAGTGGGGGGAACAATGCCGCCCCAAAGGATCGAAAGTATTTTGTAAACAGTAAATTGTACAAATAGTTATTATAAGTATACCTTTGTTTATTAGTATATAAAACAAGTTATTCTCCATGTCTTCAGAAAAGCCACGGCTCTTAAGATTATAAGGTAAGTTTGGGGTCAAATGCAGTGTTAGAGCCCACCCACTATTCTCCCTAGTCTTCCAATCCGGTTCTGCTCTATCTAGCACCTTAAAGAAAGAAATCTGAGTGGGCTCTGTCGGAACTGGATGTAAGCAAACATTCCCACAGAA